AGTAATAATAGGGGGCAGAAAAACTCGAAAGAAGAAGAGGCAAGAGCAGTAGCATTCAAAAACATGGAAAACCTAGTGTGGGATGGTAAAAAACCAGATTGGTCCTCATGGGTAAGATGTAAAGTTAAAACAGATCTAATTGGCAGTACTGACAAGGCGAGTAGTCGCCAGCCTGTGATCGAAGGGATCAAATCCTTAGTGAGTTAAGAATCTGGAGGGAGGCCAAGGACTACTGAGGCAGGTCGCACCTGGGTGTAAGCCGAGGGTGAGTCTCTAGTTTGGTTAGATTAGCAATAGCTACAGATAGAAATGTATAAAAATGTATAATTCTTGAATAGCTTAATCTCAAATAAACAGAGGCAGGATTGCCGAATTATAAAAAAAAATATAAATACAGCTAGTTTTCTTTCTTATTTCACATTTTCTTCATAAAACATTATTAAAAATAGATACATTTAGTTACTATCAAATTGAGCAAAATCAAAATTTGCCTTTTGCTAATATCTAAATTTTTATAGAAGTTGCACGTGAACAAGAAATTATGAGATTATTATATTTAATATCTCTATATAATTCTGAACAATATATCTAGAAGATCCAATTTCTCAACGAAGAGATAAATATTATATATGCAAACAATATGCAAATCTAATTCTATTTTGAAACGGTAAGGCCATATAATAAAGACGGCTTTGAGAATGAGATAACTGATAACCTCGACAAAATCCTTATTGTAAGCAAAAACCCTAGTAACAAGAATAATGAACATGCAATTGTAATGTATTATTCATTCGAATTAGGTAAATCATTTTTATATTTCATTTTGCTTAACAAAAGATAAGATTGTCTTTTGTTAATAAATTTTTTTATATTTTTTATCAAAAATTTTAGATAATGAGGAAAATCTTGAGCTGAAGAAAGGAAAAGAAGAAATAAGTATATGAAGGAAAGCGAAAATGAGTCTGATGAAGAGAAGTCTAAAGAAGAAGAGTCCGAAGAAGAAAATAATGGAAATATTAAATTGATAGAGAAAGGAAATAAAGAAGAGATAATTGAAGACGAAAGTGTTGAGGTTGAATTGATAGAAGATAATGAAGAGTTAGTTGAAGATGAAAGTGATAAAGTAGAAGAAGAAAGTGACGAGGTGTATAGAAGTAATAAGACAGAAGAAGAAATGATAAACAAAAAATGAAAGCTTAAAGAATCACAAAATAGTAAAAAATATATGTATAAATAAATAATTAAATATTTTATAAAATTGAATAGTACTAATCATAGTTTTTAATTTTTGCAGGATTTAAATCTGATATTACTCTAACTGATAACAAACTAAAAGCTGCAAAACTGTATAAAGAGTTTCTCCTATTAGAAAAAGGGCTACTGGTTATAGCACTATTTTTTGATGATAATGCACAAGTTCGCAAATTAGACTATTATAATAATATCAAGAAGCATTTAAAAACTATAATACATCAGAGTTGAACTTTAATGATAAAGCAATTTGATTCTTCGGTGATTAATGGAGCACTTAGTATGGATCTATATCAAGAAAAACAAGAGCCTGCTGTATTAATTCTAGCAGAATTTGATAATAGTAATTTACGAGATCAAATTAATTTGTTGTGAAAAGTTTCTGAATTACCATCTGACATTTTAACAAATACATCTTTATCATCTAACACAAATAATCAACAAATATTAATATTTTCTTCTCTTATGAGTATATACTACAAATCACTTCATAAAGTTGAAATTAGTTCTTACAATTCAGAATTGTATCGAAGAATGTTCTTGAGATTTTTGTATGAATTCGAATTGGCATACTGTTATATGAAAGATTTTGTTATAAAATATACCAACCGCGAGAGTAGGGCCCTATAGCTTAGTGGTCTAAGCGCCTACCCCCCACAGCCAAAGTCTTCGGTTCAAGTCCTACTGGAAGCAGTTTCTAGCAGTATTTAAGAATGCAAAACCCTGTGGAAGTTCAAGTGAAGTATGAATTTGGTTTAGGAATTTTCGGAAGGAGATCCATTATGGAGAAGAAGAGCACTACATGTGATAGCAGCGTTACAGAAGGTTTGATGTCAGGAAGGTTGCATAAGTAAATCCTGCAGGCAGCAAGGTAATACCAACAACCCTAAGGCGGTCTTGGAATCTTGATTTGGGAGAGTAACACAACTGTTGTCAAAAACTGGAGTGGTGAGAAAAGTAGTGAACATAAAAGGATCTGTGGTAAAGAATTAGTCTAACCAAATAAGGAACACCTCTGGCATCTATACTACTATGAAGTGTCTAGTATAGAGAGATGCTACAGTATATCTGTGTATGTGTAAAAGACTCGCATATCGTTGGTATAAGTCGCACCCAATTGGAAGTCTTTAATGAAATACAAGACCAATATGAATACACCAATTCTAAAACACCAACCAATATAGCTGTAAGTTGAAAGTAACATTGTTATGCAAAACTCGATTGGAAGTAGCTCTACTGGTTAGATTTACACTCATGTCTAGGTCTATACCAATTTGGGGAGTACATAAATGGATATACTATACATATACTCAAACAATAAAATCTACTACTAAAAAGGTATGAAGATCGGGCGGTCTAAGGATTCACCTGATTAGGACTCTATGTATGGATAGGTGTGTCACCAAATTGGAAGTACTTAAGTACAATGGCAGAAAAATCCTACCAATCTGGGAGTTTATATAGTATATAGGGAATATATTAAATATAATATAATTGTATAAAAATCCTGATATAAACTAAAAATAGGGTTAGATAAATCAGGTAGGAATATGCATTTGTGAATAAAATAGTTCTAAGCTGAAGTCTTACTAGTTACACTATAGTTATCACATAATTTGTAATTATAATATATGTAATAAAAGACTTAGGCAAAAGATGCCACCCTTAAAAAAAAAATATATATATACCAACCGCTCAAAAGGAATGAAATCTACTACACAAATTAATGCACTTCTTACTGGAAGAATCATACTACAACAATTGTTGAACATTCAAAATACAACTTCTGAAACTTTTTTAGTTCATCAACCTATTAAGCAAAAGAAAAAAAAATTAGTTACAGTAGATGAGATTTCAATAAATATTCCAGAATTCTGTGATAAGGTTTCAGCATGCAAACTTAAAATATTCACAACTGCTGGACCACGATTAGTAGAACTTCTTAATGCTTTAAATGACAATTGGGTAATACTTGACTTGGTTGATTATACAACTATAACTTGGCTTGCAAATATCAAAAAAGATGAATGGATAGAACTTATCCATCAAATTACTTCAAATTTATAAATTTATTTGCTTTATTTGCATGCATTTTATAAACTATTAGCATTAGTATATTTCAATGTATATAAGTAAATTTTGATTTAAATTTGCTTAATAGATTAGATTACAAAATTAATAAATTGATATACAGTTTTTGCTTTTAAGTGACGTTAAAAAATATTAATATGATAAAATAAAATATTGTATAGTATAGTCAATACTATCTAATTGCATACTATCTGTCAGACTTTTTACGCATATAGATAATATATACATTTAAGTAATAAGAATCACTTTTGCGTTAATAATTAAAAGTTAAATTTTTTATGCATTTAAAGAGTATATGCAATTTGATAGCATAGACTATATAAAAAATAAACTAGTCACTAAAAAGTAAAAAATTAAAAGCCTGACTTTGTTTTGATTACGTAGATTATTTGAATATAAATATAATATTTCTTCTTTTTTTTATATTCTTACTCTTTCTTTTTTTACGTATCTGCTATATTTCTTTTCATATGCATTTTCTTATAAACTTTTTTTTTTTTTTAATCTTCAAAGGATTTTTTTATAAACTTAAATAACTTTACAGATGGATAATATTAACCAAGCTACTTTTGGTTCAAAAACTTCAATACCATCAACTCCGAAAAGAATTGCTAAAGCTCTAGATACTGTATTCGAAAATTTAAATGAAACTAATTCCAAACTAAACTGTATTAACGAAGTATTTGAACAACACCAAGAAACAGTTTCTATTCAAGCTACAAAGCTTCAAGACATGTATAATAATTTAAACACAACAGTTCAAGATATTTTTTCTACTTTAAGTATGAATATCTTAAAAATACAAGATAAAGTTATTGAATATTCTGACGATCAAAAAAATATATTAAATATCCTTGAAGAAATTAGAACTGAAAACTCTCGCAAGCCTCTTTCTGAAATAATTAATCCCAGAAATAAATTTGTTAAAAATTCAACTTGATATTCTGCATCACATCCTACTTTGTGAAATTCGATTCGTCACAAGATAAATAGTCATCAAGCTTCTGAAAATATAGATGAAACTTCCTTCAAGTTTAATCTAGAAAAACCACCAGGTGATCATTATAATTGTAAAAGATTAAATAATTATATCAAATTTTATCTAGAAGATTAT